ACTTCCACGTGCACTGTCCCCAGCTCCCCCGGCCCCCCACACCCTAATGTCCTACCTCCTTCACTTCCACGTGCACCGTCCCCAGCTTCCCTGGCTCAGAGCCCTCGATGTAGAACTTCACACGTTTGTGTTTCAGCCCATCTTTTACATAGTCGATGAAACTGTCAAGAAATGAATGAACACAAGTCTGAGTCCTTTTCATTTGAGAACGGCCTGCCCTTTCTGAGATCAAGGTTCCCACAGTACCTGACGTGCTGTCTCCGGCCTCGCCTTGTCATCTCCCCGTAGCCTTTAACAGGCTCCCCAAAGACACTAATCACCTGCACAACAAAGACAGGGCTTTACTTCCTATTATTTTTCTAAGCTTCCTAAGGAAATATTTTCTGACAATAGCATTTTTTATTTTAGGACACACACACACAAAAACCCAGTAAGCCTAACACCCTTCCCCCAAATGAAGATTCCAATAATGAGAAAACTGAAGAATAAAAGATCATGCAAAAATATTCATAAATCATTTAAACAAATATTTCATTTACAGAGATTAAAACAGGTAACTTTGTGGTATAAACTTTCAGAACTTACATTGTTTTAGAACAATGTAAGTAGAAGTGTCGCTGTTCCCACTTCCCTTACAAAAAAAATAATCCCAATAAAATGCTGTGCTCAAATATTTCTCTATGATACCTTATGGTTTAAAGATAAAATGTATGAACATTTTTTTTTTCCTGCAATTTTTGGCCAGGGCCAGATTTGAACTCGCCATTTCCGGTATATGGGGCCAGCGCCCTACTCCTTGAGCCACAGGTGCCACCCAAATGTATGAACATTTTTAATGAAATTTAACTAATGGGATCTAATACTAAAAGCTGTGAGATCACAGTGACTTTTTAAGTCATGAAAATACAGAGGAAAAAACAGGCAATAATGATATTAAAAATAAATCAGGGCGGGAGGTGTTAAATAATTTCTAATGGAAAAATTCACATGAAATAGAAATGTATTTTTAAATTTCATTTAACATAGAAAACTGTGGAACTCGCTCTAAAAAGTACAGATCTAACATCAAATTAAAAAAATATGAGTCACAAAAATTTTCTTTTTTATATATTCAGAATCACATTTTCAGGGATAAATAAAAAGGAGTAACATGTAAGGTGACAGTCACTTTAGAACTGTGAGCTGAAACAAATGTCCAGATATAATTTAACAAATTAAATATATCAATATCAGGGCATTAAGATTTTCTATGAATATTTTTCAAGCAGGCACACTAAAGTTGGCAAAGAGAAAGCCCTTACAAAATGTTGACAACATTATTAAAGTTTGATTATTATCTGTGAAGCTCTTTTAGGCAGCAATTTAAGCTATGACTTTACACATCTCACTCTTGTTGTTTATTCTATGGAATTCTATTTTGTTCAAAATGTTGAATAACCTATGAAATGCTAAGTTTATTAATAACACAGTAACTTTTTAGCTCTTTCCAAAGAGGCATCCTAGGATCTCATGTCTAGTAGTCTTTTCTTGTCTGTAGTTTTTTCTTAAGGTGTAATTTGGATCTCCAGTAGCTACACTGGGAACCTTTTGTATTTCCCTGATGATTTTCAGTTCAGGGATATGATTCCCTCCTTGTCTCCTTCTCCACGGTTACCAGACTGCCTAGAATCCAATTAAGAGAAATCAGTGGATTAAAGAGAAAGATGCGAGATAGTGTTAAGCTTCTGAAGTTTCCACTTGATAAGAGAAACTGATGGTGCATTCAGAGCCAGTGAGTGTCCCTGGACAGCCACGCAGGGAATCACACCGGCAGTAATCTGCAGGTTGACACCCTTCCCTTGCCAGGGACTCTGTATTCCTTATTTCTTTGACATTACTCTTTTGGTCTGCATGAAGAATAGCCCTAGTATTTATAATGCTGTCATTATCCTTCAGTGTGCAGGAATTTGTATTTTAATGAGTAGTATTTTCAACGCTGAAAATGTGGCACTTCACAGGCCACACTGGCTGATTCTGAGTGGAGACCACAGGGTCCTCCAAAGAACCATCTGCTTCTCCCAGGGACAGTTTGAGGCAATCTGTGCTTAATTAAGAGTGTAAGATCTGGAATTAGACAAACTTGGATTCGGGTTCCAGCTCTCCCACTTACCAACTCAGTGGTGGTGGTCAAGTTCCTTACTCTCTCTAAATATCAGTTTCCCCTTCTGCAACTGGAGATAATGTAGTTTGACACAGATGGCTTTGGGGAGGCTTAGTAACGGTGACATGCTAAGAGTCTTAGAATTGGGCACTTCACTTTCGTGAAGTGTTCATGATCACCACCATGACCATAAGGCCACCAACCAGATGTTCTGAAAGATGAGAAACTTAACACGTGAGCTTGATATTTTGGTTTATTATCAGCATTTAGTATCTGCGAACAATCAGTAAGATGATGCTCACACGAAAACGTCCCTACACTGACCTCTGGGTGCTTTCAACCAAAGTGTTTCAAGAACAAAGCCCTAATCCCATCATCACACCCAACCGTGGCAGGCTGTCACATGGATTTCACAGGTTCCATCACTCAGGTGCTTGAACTCTGCCCACTTCCTCCTCCCCAGAATTTTCTCCCTATTGTCACAGTCCATAAAACTTGAACTTGAGAACTCACCTCAGGATGTGTTCTGCATTTTTCTAAGGCTTTCCCATATATCTTATTAGGACTGAAGGAAGAAAAAAGTTCTTTGAAAACAGTGTAAAGCAAACCACCTGAAATCATAGAAAAAGAAGATAAAGCAAAGCCAGAGCAACACGAAAAGGGAAGGTAAAAACCTTACAGGGGCTTTATACTTGCTGTTTTTTGCAACCTGTAACGCTGATTCCAAAAAGCACCACGATTAAATAGGTAAAATCTCTTCCAGCTTCCTTCACTGTAAAGAGAAAATATCAGTCAGTTACACGCCCCAGCTCTTACCTGGCGTGTTGCTGCTTTTGTGTTTCTTGCAGTGAAACGTGCACTGAGGAACAAGGCCAGGACTGTGCGTTCTGGAGCAGCTACTTTAACCTGTCCCTGTGCACAAAGCCCTCTCAGAGCAAGGCTCAGGAGCCCATATAGCAATCTAATCAACATTATAATTTTAGTACTGCCTTCATTTCTATTGTAGACGAGGAACTCCTTTCAGCAAGTGATCCTGAGAGTGAAAGCAACTGCTGCAGATGAGGCAGCACCAGACACAGACCTGCCATTCACAGACGAGGAACAGTGCTGGCTTTGTCAACCAAAGGGACAAGGGACCCAGTGGGCCAAAACGGAGGCCAACTCTTAATACTAATGTTCTCAAATGCCACCTCCTGCCCTGGCACTGACTGGTGCATAATATAGACACAGAACTGAATTTAGAAGAAGAGTTTGGTTCACCAGAAAGATTCACAAATCAAACAAACTTAGAAAATGAAGTACTTGTCACACTAATAAAAGATGTATATGTGTATTAAATAGAAGTTCTGAGAGCTAAAGAAATTCAATTAAGACATTTGTTATGGGACAGAGTACTAAGGAGTACAACTATGTGTATATTCACATGTGCGAGAGTCATACCATTATGATTATGACACCTTAACACTGAAATTACAACTGTGCTTTTTCACTAATGCTAAAAAGAATGAATGGATCATCTCCTGGTATTATAGTTATAGATTAATTTGTTCACCACATTTGAAACTCAGACTTCTTAAAATATAAATCTCTTACAATTTTTACAACAAAATTTAACAGACATGATTGTTGTTACTGTTTTTACCCCCTTTTTCTTTTGCATTAGCTTCTTTTATAAAATAACACATGTTTAAAAGTAGTCCTTAGGCTGGGTGCAGTGGCTCACGCCTGTAATCCTAGCACTCTGGGAGGCTGAGGTGGGTGGATTGCTTGAGCTCATCAGTTCAAGACCACCCTGAGCAAAAGTGAGACCCTGTCTCTACTAAAAATAGAAAAAAACAAAAAACAAAAAAAAAATTAAGGCAAGAGAATCACTTGAGCCCAAGAACTGGAGGTTGCTGTGAACTAGGTCTCCACGACACTCTACCCAGGGCGACAGCTTGAGACTGTCTCAAAAAAAAAAAAAAAAAAAAAAAGAATTGGTCTTTAGCACAATCCTACATTAGAAGATTAAATTAAATAATAATTCAAACTGCATCTGCCAAAATTTGTGTAATTCATAGAATTGACTTGAATAATAATTATTGCCACAAACGTAATCTTACCAAGATCCAGGAGTTGAGGTCTACATGACAACATCTCATTCCATTCTCTATTAATGTCACAACATACATTTCAATAAAGAGGGTGCCAAAAGAGTGTATATACACATTTAAGAATGGAAAAAAACTCTACATATTTGTAATATTCAAGTCAAGTTTGACTTTTGCAATTACAAGCGGTGCTTGATGTGACTTGTATTCATCCTTTCTTATTACATGTGGACGATTAACACAATGCAAAACCAGCTACCAACATAAGGGCACTTCCTGTGCTAAGAATTTAACCACTAGGCAAACACTCACAGCTGGGTTTGCTCTTGGAAATTTGGTGACAGTGGTGGTCTACATTAAGGGAGTAAAACCGACAGAACAGAGTGGCAAACTGTGGAGGAAAGGCTCCAAAGGTCAGAGGGTGAGTGTGCTGGAGGATATAAGATACTGGGAAAATAAGGAATTAAAAATCTAAGCTGTTGGAACTCTGAATTACTTTGAGCCTTAAAGGAATGTGATGTTGGGGCCTCAGTCAGATAACAGGCAACTGTAACCTTTGCTTTTCCGATTATAGAAACTTTGTTTCTCCTTACTTAAACTGTTTTGTAAAACAGTGTAAATGACTAAAGGGCCAGGGGAAGACTGTTACCCTTGACAGGACTGTAGGTTAACCTTCCTCTTACCTTTCTCACACAAAGATTTCATGCCATCACACTGTCTTAAGATGGAATGTTAAATACATTTGAGAAAATGAAAATAAGTTGTAACTAATTAGACTGTTTTCACTCATTAACCAGTCTTGTACAGATGTTATAAACTACTAAACTTAGAAAATGTTTTCTGCCTATATAAGCAAGAACTTAACTTTTAACTTTGGGACACTGATCTTATTTTCCGGAGCCTGTCTCCTGGATGGCTATCTCCAGCTTTTTGCCTGGATAACCTCTTTATAACAGGATTCTGATCCTTTCAATTATTTCCAGTTGACAATATAAAGCCTGAAAACCCACCAACTGCCAGTGTTCCAGTGTTCCCTAGAAGGGCCTGAAGAACACTTCTACCAAAGCCATGATGAAGCCATAGTTACAACATTAAAGAGCAAAATGCTCTGACAGCAATGAAAGAATCCTGAAATAGAGACCAGCTCATGGTGTTTAATCATCAGAAGCCAAAGTTTGCACAAGTGTCATAATGAATGGCAAGGCTAGAGCAGCAGCCAGGGATGTCTGACCTGCAGAGCCACCGAGATGATTATTAGAACTCGATGATACTATGGGGGAGACTGTGTGCATCTGACAAGGATAATGCTCAATAACATATTCATGAAAAAATAATGATGATAGGAGGGCCGAAGGCAGCTGCTTTAATGCAAAGTCCTGAACAATGCCTCAGTTTCTGGACCTGAACCACTTTTCAGCCCCGGAACCTATTTACTAAAGGAAAGGCCATGTTCCTCTGAGAGGCCTGAGCAGGTGTGTATAGTCACCCCGGTCCTTCATCAAAAGGACTTACAGCTATCAACAGGGATGAAGAATCTGTGCTGATGAAGATACCAGAGGATTCAGAGTCATCATGTTTCCATACCCCTCATTTGCTGCATATGAGACCAGGTAAAAGAGTCTAGCTTATAAGAGGTTCACAACTGGGTCAGGAACCTATCTGATAGTCATTTCCCTCATTTACAAGTGCGTAAATGAAAAGCATATTCTCAGTAATTGGCAATAACAACCTTTACTTTGGAGATGGGTTAAGAGCTATCATAGTGGAAAAAGTCAAATGGAAACCTCTGAAACTGCCCGATTTCTAACTTTCCCTCATAAAACTACATTCCATCTTTCCTGTTTTGTATGTTCTTTTTCTGTTACTGTAGATAACATGAGGCCAAGTGATGTTTTGGACATCTTTAATTCTGTAGTCTATATAAGCTAACTCTGTATCTGACCATAACAGCAATTACTCAACAGAAGTGTTTATTGAGTTGAACCACATATAGTTTTTTCTATTAATTATGGCTGAAAAACCTCTTTTCTAATTATTCTATCCAGTTATTCTGTTATATGCACCAGAACTAATAGAAGGTGATAAGAATTTCCTAGGCATAATGCAAATTATATCAAATTTAAGATCAACTTTCAAATCTGAATTCAGATTTGAGGAGAAAACTATAGGTCTGTATTTTCCGGTTCTAAACTGTTTAAACAGTTTCATCTTTTATGTAAATTGTTTTTCCATTTTTAGCAATGAACGTGGTGTCATTGGATATCGGTAGCTCTTGCCACATTTGTCGAAAGACTATCACAGCCTAAGTACTCCTTCTTACCTTTCTGTGACGTTGAGACAGCAGTATCCGCTCTCTGACTTCTGTGCACAGACACTTGGTTGCTACTATCCTCCTTTGTTCTCCAGGGGCTCGATCCCTGCGTCCAGAAGTTTTTCTGGGTGACTCCAAGAATACGTCCAGGACGCACCGTTTTCTTCTGCTCTTGAACCACCCATCTCAAACTGGACTCAGTCTTCAAGCAAGCCGTGTTAAGCACAAAGTGTGGCGAAAATAATCGCCTGCCCGAGGGCCTGTGCAGCTTCTCTGCGTACTGTACAGCTCGTAGAAAAGCACAAATCATGTTCATAGAAAACTGCTCCGCTTCGGGACAATGTTAACGACAACCAGCAAAGCTTCACAATCCACTACACTCCCAGCCGGACACGTTCTCAAGTCTATACATTCACATTACAAGGCATCTTAGACAAAAATGTGAGCTCCAGCACGTATATTAAGACGAAAAGTCTACTGAGAGAAGCTGATGTCTACCTTCCTTGACTCCTCTTTCTACTTGAACTAAAATGCTCCGAGTACAGTCTACACTGACTTTTGCAGGATCCCCGCCATGTCTCGGCAAAGTGCCCTGGGAAACCCCGCGGCATTCTGGGAATAGTAGTTTGACGACTTCACTTCTGACTGAATTGCAGCTGTGGCGGGAGCACAAGGGCCTACAGCTCCCACAATGCAAGGCGATCTCAGGCCTGCCAATTCCTCCGCGCGGGCTGCCTGCGCATGCGCCAACAGCCTAACGGGGACAGCAGGAAGGCGGGGCTTCCTGCGCGGGGAAATTCGGCCTTTAGCTCCACTGTGAATCAAAAACTTGAAAAAAATCAAAAGAGCAGTAAACTGCATGTTTTTATGGCCCTTCTAGAGAGGAATTCTTCCGTGTGACTATGACTTTGCCATTCCTTATGGGCAAATTATTGTTGCGTGGTTGAGTTCCCAAGAAAACCAGACAATAAAAAACTACCAAGTGGAGATGAAGGACACCTCCACAAAAGAGTTGTGTGTCTTAAACTCCAAGAGACAGACTTGCAGGCCAGCATCTTCGGCTTTCCTGGGGAAAGAAGCGGGGACCCTTGGGAAATTTCTAGAACGCTCTCGGGAGCAGCTGTTAAGGCGCCGGACAGTCTGGAGCGCACGCGCATAGCTGGCTCCGCGTCTGCGCACGCGCGAGAGCGGCTAGAAGGGGGTGTGGCGCGCACGTTTCAGCCGCGGAGCCTCGGAGCGGTCCCTGCCAGGTCTCCATGGCGACCGGACGCGGTCGGATCCTGCAGCAGCACTTGCCGGGCCTCCAGCCTCTGGGCTGGCCTCTCCGCGGCGGCGGCGCGGGGCGAGGGAGCGCGGGCCCGGCTGTGGGGCGCGCCGGGGCCTCCCGCTTCAGGTGACGGTCGTGGGACTGCGGGTCGGGTCCGTCTGGAGAGGGAAGCCCCTCGCCGCCCCCGCCGGCCCCGCTGCTCTTTCCCGAATATTTCGTTCCTCCAGCCTCGGCGCGCGGCTGTTTTTAATGTGGGAAGGATCTGGAAGAACGACCAGAAATACTTTATCTATGGAAACAGAGGCGTGGTGTAATACAAGTTGGGACACAAGTGAAGTGGTTTCCCAAGTAAATTTTTCTGTGCGTTCAATTTGTGGGCGCTGTGGGAACGCGGGGAGTCCCTGCAGCCAGCACCGGCGCCTGGCAGGGTCTGCGGGGGGCAGGGGATGCGCCGCACGTGCTGGCAGGTGCCGACCGGTGTCTTAGCTCCTCTGTAACCAGGAATCGCCTTTCGTGTTTTTTAATGGTCTTACAACTTAAGGAAGTAGAATCTAGTTAACAAAACCTTAACGGTTTTTCTCTCCCGCTCACAAAGCGTGGGCACACCACCCCTAAGCACACACCCCTGGCAGGCAGGGTGGTCTGGGCCTCCTCCTGGGCAGCATCTTCCACACCCGCAAAGTCAGGGCCAAGTTGCCTTCTGGACTACCACGTCTCGGTCTTCAGCTTCTAATCCGGTCTTCCTGCCTAAATGGCAGGAACCCGGAGTATTTTTGTTTTGGTGTCTCAGATGCTTACTCTCTTCCATTTCTCTGCTTGCAACTTAAGAGTGGTCCTCCCCTGCAGTGAGAGGCGATGTTGAGGAGATGGAAAAGGAGCGGGGAACAGGACGCTGCATCTGCTTTCCACAAGTAGTTTCAGTTTAACTCAGAGAAGTAAAAGTTCCTTATCAAATTCCTCTCATTTTATCATAGTTCTTAGCCCCCGTAATCATCGCTGCAGTTAATTTATTAGGTAGAGGGGTAATGCTAAGAATTTGCGTTCTTGAGAATTATCTTTTTGCTCATAAAAGGATAGGGAAAGTCATGCATATTTTGCCTTCTAATAAACCAAATGTGTATGTTTGAGGATTAGGAAAGGATTTGATTACTTACTAGTTCAGCCATGTAAGTTTTGATCCCCCCCCCCGCTCTGACTCTGTAGGGCTGTGTCCCATGTCCTCTCTAAGCCTGCAGTGCTCCACTTACCCTGGTGTCAGAAGCATGTTCTCTTTTTTAGGGCCATGATAATAGTCTTGATGGAATAGCCACTACACATAACACAAGCCTTGTGTCAAATAAAATGATGATAATGCCAGCAAAAATTGTATTATGTAAGAGAGAAAGTAGAAATTTGAATAGGGAATTTGAACTTTTAATCTGTTTGCAGCTATTACTAAAATGCAGAGCACTGTTACTGAGAAGCAGAATAGTTTTTATATGATGAATATTTGATTCTTTGGTAAATTGAGTGAACTTGCTGGTGGATTAATATAATTAGAATGCCTATCATTATGCCTGAAATGGGAACCTGAATTTCAACCTGTGATTTGGTCATTCACTATGGTCACTAGCTGGTCCAGGGGAGTATTTCAAAGGTGACCATAGTGCTAGTCAGCTATGAGGTACACACCACTTTTTCTGGGATGAGTTTGCAGACTTAATTCTCCAACTTCCTACATTCTTTTGATAAAGAAAAGACAGCTGCTAAGATCGAATGATTGACCCAGGTCTAAGCAGGTGGTTATTTTCAGTGTCTTACTGTGGGAAATTAGATGTTAATAAGGAACCAATGAACATGTGAGTGTGTGTAAATATCACAAACTCTAAGCAGAAAGCTTGTCAACTTGACTTAATTAAAAGTTTGTATCTTGTGTAATCCTTTGGATTTACCAGGTATTAAAAATCAGGCACAGAAATTAGATTTTTAAAATACTGGACTTATTCAAAGTTATTAGGCAAAAAGAAGCTGTCACATGACAAAGTTTTTGAGCTACATTTGTCTTACTGAATATATCAGTATGTGTCTATACTTAGCCTTGAGGACATGAAGACCTGCATGAGGACATACGTGGAACTTAATGATTTATTAACTGGCCCTTAACTATGTGCAGTTGGTTTACTTTATGGAGGAATGGAGATGGGCTTTCAGGAGGGCCTGCAGTTGTGTTGATGAGCCATACAATCTTACCTAACACACAGTACAAAGAACAGTGAGGCTATGAGGGTCTTGGAGGCTTTCTCCCTCTGTCTTGGAACCTTGAACAAGTCCTTTTAGTTGACCAGTTAGAGTCTTGGTCTTCTAACCTGTGAAATGAGATTTATTTTAATTGGGAGAAAACAAAACTGCAACAAATAGGCTTTAACTTTTTTTTTTTTGAGATGGAGTCTCATTTTGTCACCTTCGGTAGAGTGCCATGGCCTCACAGCTCATAGCAACCTCCAACTCTTGGGCTTAAGCAATTCTATTGTCTTATCCTCCTGAGTAGCTGGGACTACAGGGCGCCCGTCACAATGCCTGGCTATTTTTTGTTGCAATTCTCATTGCTGTTTTAGCTGGCTGGGGCTGGGTTTGAACCCGCCACCCTCAGTATATGGGGCTGGTGCCCTGCCCCCTGAGCCACAGGCACTGCCCATGGCTTTAACATTTTTAAAGTGTGAAAACATATTTGTAATAATATAGCATTCATGTTCCAGTTAAACAGGAGGGCAAAATAAGTTTTAAAGCACTTAACACATTACCCTGTACAGAGTATATGATTAAGGAGTATTTGTAGAATTGAACTGAATAAATAAACCCTGTGAAATGTTTTCATTACAGATAGAGGCATATCCATTTGTTACAGAATTAGGGATTCAGATTAGGAAAGCCTTTGGTACTTAAAAATCTAGTACCAAACAGGATTTACTGGCTTATGTGTAACTTGAACTATCTTTAAGTGGGAGAGTTACCCCATGATTTTTTCAGGAACTAAGATTATTTTAGTTCTATGCATACACATTTGCAAACCAGGTGACTTTAATTCATAAAAGTTTTCACAGTGGTATTTCATAGGTTCTGGACACATAGGTTAGCTTTTTCCTTAAGAACCTGTGGATGAGTTGAAGTGGTCTGTGTTCATGAAATCTCTGAGCACCCTGGGGCTGTGATTCTCAAATGGGTGGGTCCAAGCTGGCAGTGGGTGTACAGGGCATCTTTCTGGTGTGCAAAATTAACACAAAGGCTTTGGAGGAAAATGTCAAATAGCTGGTAAGTAATATAATACATTTTTATGATAAAAATTATCCAGTAGAATGCAATTATTTGCTTTAATTTTTGGATTGAGTGAGAGACTTCTAAGAAGTTTTGAGTTTGCTACAGGTTATGCTCCTAGATTTTGGAGGCCCTGCTTTCAGCTTCTTTAGAGGGTACTGTTGCTGAGAATGTCTTTGAGAACCTTCTCCAGCCTAAAGGATCGTGCTGTCAAATTGTGATTCCTAGCTTCTTGTTAATGTGCAGTTTTGAAATTAACTCCCCTGTCATTTCATATTCAGTATATGAAGAACAATTAGAAAATACAAGTTTTGTCCCTTTAATCCTCCAGTCTCCTTTTAGCAAAACTACCACCAATAAATCTTGTAATCCTGTGAATTGGCTGTATTAACTGTCAATACCTTGTTGTCTTCCCTTCCAGACCTCTTTTCTTTGTATGCATGTGTTTACTTTTTCTCTTAGAGAAGTACAAAAATGAGGTTATATAGTTTATACTGATAAAACCTGTTTCTTCAGTCAGCATCTTATTCATGCAGCAGATGTTTATTGAAAGCTGTCTGCATGCCAGGCATGTTGTGGGTGCTGCAGGCTCCCTGGTGAACACACTCAGCCAGTGCACCTGCCTGGTGGAGCCTACGTTCCAGTGACAGTAACAGGTAGTTGGATGGTGATGTGCACTGAGGAGAGAAACAGAGAACAGGGACAAAGTCTGTGTGAGTGTATGGCCTGTCTTGCAGTTTTAGATAGATGGTCAAGAGAAGATCTCAGAGGATGGCATTTGGGTAAATGCCTGAAGGAGGTGAGGGAGCAAGGCCTGGAGGTACCAGGAAGATAGCATGGACCTATTTCTATTTCAGATGCTTAAAAATGTATAGTTTAATTGACTGAACATTGTTAGCTCGTCCCGATACTGTTTCTGGTATTTTATCCCAGTGCAGACAACTTTGAGATGGACTTTCTGGAGTGAACTACCTGGGCACATTTTTTTTGCCTTAGGATATGTTTCAAGGAAGTGGAATTCTTGGCTTCTGTGAATATGTTCCTTGTAGGGGTCTTACTTCAGATTACCAGGTTTGGCCTTTCATAAACTTTATACCACTTTATCTTATCCTATATCCGACAGCAAATGAAATGCCAGTTTCTTTGTAACATAGCCAGCACAAGTACTTATCATTTATTTGATCTTTGTTAATTTGCTAGATTAAAGTTGATACATCGTATTCATTTACTTTGCTTCTCTTGGAAAGGCTACAGTGATAGTTTTTATTTTTCTGGCATCTTTAATTGAGGAAATACGTAATGACAAAAAGCTGTCACCAGCTTAGTAATGCTTTTAAATATATGTATAACTATGTTGATTAACATAGTTAAAATAGATTTAAAAATATACAGTAAGACATTACTCAGTCTTGATATAATACGTAGTGCGTGTATGGACTCATAAACTTCACACGACAAACCTCTCACACTCCCATTGGACTGGGCATCATCAGTTGGAAACTCATGAGGGAAATTATTATTTGATGGAGGAATAATAGAAATTCCTTTTACTTAAGTATTATAGACCGTTGTCAATTGAAAATATTTTATCTTTTTTTTATTAATTCATAGCCGTGTACATTAATGCAATCATGGAGTGCATACAATTGAAATATTTTTATCAAACTGGTTAACATAGCCTTCATGGCATTTTCTTAGTTATTGTGTTAAGACATTTATGTTCTACGCTTAGTAAATTTCACATGTACCCTTGTAAGATGCAGGGTAGGTGTGATCCCACCAATTACCCTCCATCCATCCTCCCTCTCCCCTTTCCCCTTCTTCTTGGGCTATAA